CTCAAGTCTCGTCTGATTTCGCCACTTTTCCCTGCACTGCCTTTGTTAAGGTCAGACAAATACACAACATTTTCCCACATTGTCTGGGTCTGTATTAACCCCTCATTCAAGCTGGGCTGGCGAGAGGGCTGCAGGCCTGAGGTGCTGTCTAGCGCCCTCTACCGCAAAACAGACCAACTTCTGGATACTCTCCTCCAGATGAGTGCCAATGTGAAAGTGGTGGACATTACTGGGAAATCTCCAGGTCTGTCAAATCAGGACTGATTTCTGTTGTTTATACAGTAATTACTTTACAGTGTTTGTGTTTCATTAACAGTGAGTCCCAGTGCGCAGCTCCTAGAGCAAACAGCAAGACTGCAGTCACTCAGTGACACTCTCGATAGGCTTAAGGTAAACCACAAATGCTTCAAAATCAAACAGTCATCATTAACATGTCTCCTGCACTTATTTAAGCAACTTCTTTCCTTGAAGGATGAAGTTGCTGAGCATGTAGTGACTCATAGGCCTGGTGCTCAAGTCTCGTCTGATTTCGCCACTTTTCCCTGCACTACCTTTGTTAAGGTCAGACAAATACACAACATTTTCCCACATTGTCTGGGTCTGTATTAACCCCTCATTCTTCTTCCTCTGCTCTCAGGCAAAGGAGGAGAAGAAAGGAGATGCTGTGTTGGTTGGTCGTGTGATGATGCCTTGCGCGCGAGGACAGGAACAGGTGCATCGTCTGGTGCTTTCAAAGACACAATTACAAAGAGTTCATCGCCTTCTCCAGACTTAAAATAACCCCAAAAAACCAAACTTGCTCACATTCAGTCTTCAAAACATACATTGAAACAACAGATATAATGGAGAATGGATCTAGGGCCACAAACCAAGAACAATAAACACAATAAATGCTTCATTTTGACAAGCCCACACAAGTCAAGCATTTGGAATGCTTTGAATGTGATGATATCTACCACAGCAAAATCTGTAAAATGATACAAAAAGGCTACAGATTTGAAACGTGAGACATGCTGAGGACGTTTTAACAATTAGACTTTATTAACATGGCATGAAATGGATGATTCGGCATGATCCCTACTGCTTTATATCTGCGTCCATTTAATACCTTTCATTCTCTTCCTGATTTGGATTCCCATTGATCCATGTTTACAAGTGTTTACCTAAAAGGATTACAGTTCAAATAGTTTATGTTTAATTAGTGGTGCTTCCTAAGTGATTAGATTTAAAATTTTCAACTGATGGACAATAAAACAGGAAAAATTACCAATAAAATGGAAGTAGAGATCCGAACCATATGATTTGACCAGGAAACAACCACCCGAACACTCTGGCAACCACCTAGCAATTACATCGCAACATACTAAAGAACCATTTAAAATCTTATAGCATCTCCCAACTACCTGAAAGACCCTATCATTGTGGCATCAAGTTCTACATGCACAAGCATCGCTTACATTATTCTCATAAAACGTAAAAATCTTGTTGGTCATTTAAATGTGCGTTCTCATTTGTGGTTGTTCAGCGAATTTTCATGGGCGAAATCCAGTCATTTCAACTGGGAATCCACCCGATTAGAAATTTTGCAAGAGGGCAAAAGATTTCCCCATTCATGTTGGCCACGTGGATTCACTGCATTGACCAACAGAAAGCTGCTATGTGTGAGCTGTGCTTCATACATTCCTAAACTCATGACAATAGACAATGAAGCTTTTTACCTGCACCTTAATTATCAATCGTTTCACATAAAGTTCAGTATCAAACCTACGATTTCTCATTTTATACATGCAGTGTTTACAGAATATTCTGAATCAGGAGGCCAAAGGTAAACAAAAACACAATTTCGGGGCTCTATTTATGTACTGTAACTGCGAACAAGCACACGTTAAATGATTCAACTTAGGACTGCTACATTCTTCTCTTTAAAACAGATCAGATGCATTTTATCAGTGATTCCTTGGCACAGCCCTCTTCATATTCTCAAAACAGTTACTAGAGTATCAGACAGGAAAGATAATATGCTCTCATTCACTTTTCACATATATAATAATAGTCAAAGATTTAAAATATCTGTGTGCTTGACTGTGATGCTTGAATGTGTCATGCCAATGTGCTTTTGTAAAGGAAATACAATAAAAATTTGAATGAATGATCCGATTTAGTGTCAGGCAAGGGCAGGATAGCATCAGGCGAATGCTGCTCTGGGCAAAAATATAGAAGACATCATATAACAATATTTATTAACTGTTGTATATTTGCTCCAAGAGATTGTCAGTATTCAAGTGGTCTTAAGTTAGCAATGGTTTGCTTTGTTACTATTGTGTAAGTCATTAATCTATTAACTGTATAAAATGCATACTGTTGCTTACAATATTGTTGAATGTGTTGGCATCTTATATATAATGTCAATTAAATAAATTGTCAGAAATAGTTTGAATTCATTTCAATATTCTGTATTAAAAGTATATGAATGTATTTATTTATTGTAATGTGTGTAATGTGTAACATTACACTCCTTAGTGCTCCAAACTGCTTCTAGAAAGAGCTTGCATAGATAAAACTAATGTGAATACATAGGAAATATTTGCATTGACTAACAAGCAATGAAAGAGCTTACAGGAACAGTTTGCAGATGAGCCATAAAAATGGTGATAGCTAAAATAAACCGATCTGTTTACCACATTAAAGAGCCACAGAGTTTTCTGCAACGCTTACTAGAACTGAAGAATATATTCTACTTGACATGGCATATTACCAAACGCATCAGCTTGGATATATTAATCACACTTAGGGTAACTAGAACTAGAAACTACCAGTATGATTCTGCAACATATGGATACCACCACAGTATTGGACGGTAATAACACGGCTCCTCAGAACAATGGCACCATAAATGTAGACCAGATCCAAGAGATCATCAGATGGATCACATTTGCTGTTGGGCTTCCTGGCATTGGCTTTTCTATCTACCTCATGGGCATGCAGGCAAAAACTGGCAAGGCTGCTCCGGTCTACCTCATCAGCCTGCTCGCATCCGACATCTTCAACATCCTTGGGCGGCCGAAGGCATCTGGGGAGGATGCTGAGAAAACCAGTATGTCGAGTATGGATATATCCTCCCTGATATTCTACTTCGGGATCATATCCAACATCGTGTTCATGGTCTGTGTTGCTCAGGAGCGATATCTGTTGGTAACCTGTCCACAGTATAATGCCTTCAGCATGAAACTCAAGCAGTCGAGCATGATTTCATTGGCTGTGTGGGCAGCTCCATTTGCAATACTCTTTCTGGCTTACCAAGGATATGTCATCTTATTCTCCATAGCTCTTCTTCTCCCGTTACCATTCCTGGTGTTTTTCTTTCTGGATTCTTTTAGAGCCTTGTGGTGTACAAGACGGCCAGCAGCTGTGACTAACAAAAACAAGATTCTGGGTATGCAGGCGGTCATCTTGAGTAATTACAGTATGCTTTACCTTCCCTTTATCCTTAATACACTGCTCAAAGCATTGTCTTTAAGCTCCTATGTATACTACTTGGGACTTGTATCTGATCTTCTTCTCTATCTTGGCCCACTGGTGGACCCATTCCTCTCAATCTTCCTTACGAATGGAATCGGTGACATTTTGAAGGCCTTTCCCTGCTGTGCGAGGACAAACACTCAGGAGGACACAGACTCTGTGAATACAGACACTGTGGAAACGGTGTCTGGGATCTTAACTCGGCTCTGAGAAAATTCTATTTGAACTTATAATAGCTCATTTTGATTGTTAGCATTTTACAGATTTGTAATAGTTCACCCAAAAATGTCTTAATTCAAAATTCTGTCATTATTTATTTACCCCTCATCAAACATGTATAATCTTCTTTTTCTGTGGAACACAAAAGATATTTTAAGAGATGTCTCGGTTTTTTATGTCCATACAATTTAAGTCAACAGCTTTGGTTTGATTTTGTTCACTGATGTTCTTAAAAAAAAATCCTCTTTTGTGTTTTACAGAACTTATCAAAAATAACAAGTGCCATGAAAGTAGTTCATACAACTTGAGCAGTAATTTTCTAAGTTGCCTGAAGCTGTATGATAGCTTTGTGTGAGGAACGGACTGAAGTTTAAGTCTATAAATAATTGAAAATCTTGCCTAGAAATCTTCCTTAGCCGTGGTCACCATTCACTTTCATTGTTGGAAAAGAGCAGCTTGGCTGTTTTACTAAACATCTCCTTACATGTTCCACGGAAATCATTGGAACATTGGATTTCAAAAGACATGAGGGTGAGAAATGATGACAGCATTTTAATTTTTGAATGACTCTCTGACATTATTCAGTGCCACAAAGACCATGATCAAACTTCAGAGGACACAAAGAAAAACAGCTAAGACTGTTGAAATTTACCATTATAATACATTATAAAACTCAACTGATGTTAGTAACACATCCCAACAGGGTTTGCTCATTTCAAAACTATTTGACTTGACACAAAGTGGGATATGAAATAGATGTTATATGATAAAGATGTGTTCTATACCCTTTAGCTGTAATGTGTAAAATATTAACACTAATGTAGTGGACGTTAACATAACCTGTTTAGAGATTTAAAGGGTAGTTCAACCAGAAATTAATTTTTGTCATCTTTCACTCACCCTCATGTCTTTTGAAATCCACGATTTCCATTGTTCCATATGCAAGAGATGTTTAGTAGAACAGCCAAGCTGCTCTTTTCCACACACTGACAAGTTGTATGGACTACTTTCATTGCACTTATTTTTGGAGACTAGTAACCTTTCACTTTCATTGCATGGAGAAGCGCAGCTCAGACATCTCTAAATATCTCCATTTATGTTTGACAAAACAAAGAGAAACATACGGATTCAAAGCAATAAGAGAATGAGCAAATAATGACAAATTTAAATTTCAAAATGAATTATGCCTTTACATTAAACACTCTTGTATGTTTCCACTGAGTTGTCAGAATTAACTGATAACATTGAGAACAGTATATTTCGTATATTTTCTTTAATAATCATAAAATGGAATACAAATGTTGTCTCAAGTACATATAAGACTCTAAAAACGAAAAAGGTGTAAAATATCTGAGGAAGGTCTCATAGGATAAGAAGTCTGCCACTCAAAGCAGACTGAACAGGTAGAGATCTGTAGAGAAAGAGTGCAGAGCTCTCCGAGCACGTAACGGTAAAAATCTTCAGGCACCAAAGTGTGGGATGTCATTACAAAAGTGTGGAGATTTGGCATAACCCGCACACAACAGCACAATCATACACGGATTGGAACGCAAGAAACTTGTAAACAAATGTTCTCAATAAAAAAATTTCTCATATTCACTGACTAAGCGCTTTCTGTAGAAATAAGGGGAAAAAGGCTAGTGAGCAACTCCAGCATAAGAAAATCATAAAAAAAAATCAAATACAAAAAACAGTGAATAAACAGAGCCATTGTGTATTCAAGTCCTGAGTTTTTAAAACAAAACATAAAAGGCCAAAACATAATTCAAAACACTGACAAACCATAGAAGGTTTTACAGTAAACACGATTGATAGTTTCCAGGCCTGCAACGGTCACTTGAGCATACTGAAATAAATCAGTGAACACAGAAGGTGGGTTTCATCTAGTCCGCTGGTGAATTGCTAGTCTCTCAGGAGAGGGGGTGATGGCTCTATTGGCAGCAAACCAGAGATGGCCTGTCACTCAAGGCAGCAGGGTTCATCGGCGTGGTTGGTGTCGGGTAGGTCTGGGAGCGGGTGCCACAGCGCAGGAAGGCGTCGAGGCAGAGGCTGCAGCATCTTCGGCCTCCTCCAGCTCTCCCTGGAGCTCCTGACTAACACTGGACTGCAGTGCGGCCGGCGTCAACCACTCCTTTGGTAGGCAGCTCTGAAGGAAGGGCACACAAGAGCTGAAGTAGGCCAGTCGGTTCACCCAGCGTGGGATCTCTAGACCACAGAGGATCTGCCACAGACGTGAGGAGGGAGATATCATGACATTTTAGACTCTTTATGGCAACGTGGACCCAAAAGATTAATAATATATATACACTTCCTTCAGCTTACCTCTGATAGTGCTGAGGAAAAGTGATTGCAGTTCTTATGCATAAGGTGATAGGCATTCCCCTTATATTCCTTCCCCATTTCCTCCACAATTTTCTCCACATCCTCTTCTGTGAAGTCTGTACTCCCTAAAACAATGGCCTCTCTGAGAAAGCAAGTAGAAAATAAAGAGAGTATGAGAAAGGGTGAGAGAGGAAGAGGTTTTGCGAGAGAGGAAGAGGTTTTTGCAGAAATATTTTGCAGACAGCATGGAGATAAATATTGTGACTCACTTGAATTTGAATGTCTCTCCCAGTTCAGTGGCGTCACCAGGCGTTATCTCAAAAATACCTGAAAAAGGATAAGGATGTCCTCCATAGGCAAACTCTGCAATAAAAAAGAACATACGAGTTAGGTTATTAAAATATCCCCAAGATCGGTCTTTACAGAGAGATTGCTAGTATTGTGCTACAGTGCACATTTTATCATTTGCATGAATTTTAAAGTCTTGCCAGTTTAAACTTTTAAATTATTTCACACACACGCTATTTTGACTTTTATATGGGTTTCAGAGTGCTCACACAGAAACTGGCTGTCACAGTTCTCTTTTGCACTTAAACTCAAATACACACATGGCTATGTCAAAACACAAGGTTTACACACACATAGTCAGTTGTGACTTGAACGTAAACATTTGGCAGAAAATTAGTTGTATCTCAGTATACTGGATCAGTGTATTTGGTCTGAAAGTGACATGCTGCTGTCTGTGTCATTAATGTTAATCAAACAACAAAAACAAAAGAGAAAAATCACTCACTGCTCCTGACTAAATAACTTTTGTAGTTTTAATAAGAATCAATGTATATTTAATTCACTGAGTGAAGATTAAGGAATGTTTTATTTTTACATTTGATTATTCAATTTCTTACTTGAATGCTACTGTTAAAAAGCTACTGTACCTAAAAATTTTAAACACTGTTTATTTCAGGAAAATTTCAGTCTGAGTATTAAAACGCTCTGACAAGCACTTGACAATAGTGTTATTATTACTGATATACTATTATTTATGCTATATTATTGTTTGTATAATTTTCAGTTTTAATTTCATTTCAAGTTTTAGTAATTTTGTTTGTCATTTTTATTAATTTTTTAAATTTCTATTTAGTTTTAATTTATTTTATTTCAGTATTTTAGTTATTGTAGTACTTTCAGTACAATTATTTTATTTTCTATTTACATTTTTCATTTAATCTTTATATTTTGTTTTATTTTAATTTAGGAAAATGTTTTTACTAGTTTTAGTTAGTTTCACACTTCAGCAATGGGTGTAGATAGCGTAAATGAACATCTATTTATAACCTACACAAGTGAGGATGATATGTTATCTGTCTGTCTATTTGAGGTGAAGGCGAAAAGCAAACTTTGATGATCAGTATCTTGTGCTGTTAGTGCAATTAGCATCCAGTAAAAGCACTTTGTCTGTACTTATAAACACCCTAGAAGGTACACTCAGAGGCAGAAACTGTTTAAAATGTTAAAGGTCTTTTCCTGTTGCGTCAACAGATCATCTATGTTGTGAGGTTTAGTCATGTTTAGACACCCCCTTCTTTCTTTGTTGCAGTCATACAAGTTAAACACTGGATTTCTAAATAGCTTGACTCATTTGTGTCGGAGTCATAATGCAAGCCTTACCTCTGCCATAGATCTCAATTCCTGAGTGAAAGACTCCAATTCCCAGAGAGGTAGTGAACTCATTGATCCAGTACTATAAGGAAACAAAACAAGGCTGAGTCACATACAGTCAAATGGTAAAAGTGTTTCAAGGACAACTGGGTTGCTGTTTTGATTTGCAGTGTTCAATGACAGTGGCGGTGGTTAAATCTGCAAAGGATATTAATAATAGGAGTTAATATATTCAATAGATTCTCATTCTCCATAATAAACCATTCTTAACTATGGACTTAATGGACTCAAATGTACAGTACTACTACACTCCTATAGATCTTAGTGAGGTTAGACGCCACAATGAATTTAACACGGATGAAAATGAGACTGTGAGGGATAGACTTAGAGTAGGAGTTCTCAACTCTGGCTCTCGAGGTCCAATTTCCTGCAGAGTTTAGCTCCAACCCTAATCAAACACACTTGAACAATATAACCAAGGTTTACTAGAAAATGTATAAGCTTAAGTTTATAAGCTTCAGGATTACTAGAAAGTTACTGACAGGTGAGTTTGATCAAGGTGGAAAGTGGACCTCGAGGGCCAGAGCTGTAAACCCCTGAATTAGAGTTTTTACAATGGTACACACTGTATAAATGTGTCATTTTTGTGTAATTTTCACAACTCACAATTTTCTGTCTACTGAACGTTTTTTTAGAAAGGCGTTTCGTCAGCTGAACAACTGGTATGTTGTTAAACAACAATGAATGAACTGTACTTCTACCCGTACGGTTTTGTTTTCATTCCTGTCAAAAATAAAAACATGGCGCTACCCTGACTAAGGTATATGGGCAACTTAAATCATTATTAAAACAAATGGGGGATGTGCAGAACTCAGTGACAGAGCCTTCAAATTATGAGGAAATCTGTTGATCTTTTTGAAATATTCTGTAGGTGACCCAGATATGATTTGTGCATTTGAAATGGATATTCATAAGACAGCTATAATCATTATTTTGTTTTAGAATTCATAAAATTTGGTCCATTTTAAAATGAATTATTTTAGGTTTTGTTATGCAAATTATCTTTATGATTACACTACTAATCCATTATGATTTATTAAAACTATTTGAACAATTAAACTAAACAAGTATCCAAGATGATTACAACATTCAAAATGAGCAAACATGCATTGAAGAGTAACATATGGATATGTAGAGACAGCCAATCAAACCCAGCGTATTTCATTAACAGGTCAGCTGTTTGAGGAAGTATCCGACAGCTGCCCCCAATTTATGATGTATCCCCAGAAAATAAGATGTCACTGGACCAGCTGGGTTCTAGATGTCCAACACTTTATGGCATTAAGTGTACTGCGCTACTTTATCTACATTTGTAATATATTCATTAGCACATTCGTTTTTGGCACAGTGTTGTTTTGTTGAAACATAATTAAAAAATACGAAAGGTTAGTCAAAAATAAGTGTAAAGAGATCTTTATCAAGAATTATCATTCAGGGTTGTCAAATAATGAGAGTACTCTTATTATAGAGAGTTATATTATAGAAAGTACTCTACTTATCCTTCTGGCCCCAATTACTTTAAAGCTTATTATACATATCCTTCCTCAAGCTGCCCCCAATTTATTATGTATCCCCAGAAAATAAGATGTCACTGGACCAGCTGGGTTCTAGATGTCCAACACTTTATGGCATTAAGTGTACTGCGCTACTTTATCTACATTTGTAATATATTCATTAGCACATTCGTTTTTGGCACAGTGTTGTTTTGTTGAAACATAATTTAAAAATACGAAAGGTTAGTCAAAAATAAGTGTAAAGAGATCTTTATCAAGAATTATCATTCAGGGTTGTCAAATAATGAGAGTACTCTTATTATAGAGAGTTATATTATAGAAAGTACTCTACTTATCCTTCTGGCCCCAATTACTTTAAAGCTTATTATACATATCCTTCCTCACTAGAGGGAATCGTCTCTCTGTGATCAGCAACAGGATTCTAAGTGTGATTTTCAGCATGAGTACTCTTATGCCAACAGAGCTGCGATTAGAAAATAAAATGCTCTGAACATGAATTATGTGGGAGATCTCACACTGATAAGTTCCTATGGGAATTGCTGTAAGGGGACTTTTCATTCCAGTTAAAGACCTCATGGTCACGCTAGAACCTGGGTTTATGACAACAACGTTTGGGGACATAATCCCACGATATTCGTGGATGTGTATGATTAATACTGAATTAGCCTCAAAATTACAAACTACACTTTAGAAATCACAGGTCACTTATCTGTCAAAATAGAAAGACTGACAAATTTCCCGTTTCCTGCTTAATAAGCTGCACATCTCATACATGGTTTATAGGCTAAACTAAGGGCATACAACTTGTAATGTGATTCCCATCCAAATTTTTTAAAACCTGGAGTAGCTCAAATTTCTAGCCTTAATCTTTATGTGAGAACATATGCTTAAAATAGCCCAACATAGTACTATGACTGAGTGAAGAGGCCTAAGGAAAGTATACATTACCATGACCCTGTTTCAAATGCATTTGTCCACTGTTTAATGTAAATGTTAGTAAATGTTGTAAATATTAGTGCTAAAATACAGTATGTAAATAATATTATAGGATATAATATATACATCCATGAAGAATTATAAATTACATAATCAAATAAAAAATGATGGAAAAATATAAATATAATTTAAAAAGATGTATATTTTATATGGACTTTAGATTGTACATTTATTGCACATTTTATTATATATATATATATATATATATATATATTTTTTTTTTTTTTTTTTTTTTTTTTTTTATATTTTATATAAA